TGTCTCACAGATGGACAGAAGAATACACTTTAGTTTTTCTATGTCAACTCCAGTACAACTCTTGTGTCAGCAGACCGACGTCTTCATCAGCTCTTCCTCTGTGTTCTGTAATAGCACTAATAGTCCTAAGGATGATTGCAATAGGTATTTAATAAAGAACTTTCTAATCCCTACTGCTGATATTCTGCTATGGAGATGAATGAGACCTGTTGATGCTAAAGGAGCATTTCATTCTAAGTCTTACTTAAGGCAAAAAAAAAAAAAAAAGGGCAGAACTAAGTAAAGGCAGTAATTTACTGCTGTTTATCTCAAAGTGATAAAGTTGCTCATTCTTACCACTAGTGTTTAAAAATTTGAAACTGGAATTCTTCCCCCAAATAACTCCTGAACTACAAAACCTAGCCCTGGTCCTATACAACTCTTAAAAACACAGATCAAAAAACCTATCAGCTCTAACTGTTGACACACTTGTAAAATTACCTTGTATTGCAGTTTTCTGTTCAGCATTTGCAACAGGGATCCTGCGAGGATACAGCTGTCCCACAGTGCCAGCGAAGCAGCCGAGGTTTGGGGGTCCCGCTTCGCAACCCCATTCCTTCCATCCAGCAGCTGCCTTTTGGGAGGAGGGAAGTCCCACGATGAGTTACTGTCCGACCCTATGAGACATCATCTGTGTTCCAGCTGCTGACTTCTGTCTTCTGAGTCCCCTTTTTCTATCAGACATAAAAGTCTTCACAATAGTGTCTGTTTTCATTAGGGAAATTACTGTTTGTTTGATTCCATGAAGGATTTGGTTTTCCTAATCATTTTGTGGAAGACAATCTCACACTAAGTTAATGGACAGGGTAAAATCCTAAGATAAATGATGTTGATTGCAAGCGTTCCAGTAAAAATTATTAACTAAAAAAGCCTGTAATTTACACATTCAAAATAAAATTCTTAGGTCCTGTTAATATACAGTGGGTTAGAGAAACAGAGAAATCAGAACACTGAAAAGAAATCTGTTTTCAAATTACTCCATAGGGCAAATTGTTATACTATTTAAGCCAGAGACAAAATTACAGCAGCTTCTTTGGGAATTAAGCCCACCTGATTTTTAATTGCAGTTTGGTAGTATAGCTGACAAAAGACAAAACAAAAATCTTGAATCATTCAGTATTAGAAAATGAAAATCACTATTTTCATCTTGATAATTTTCTCAGGAGAGATGTTCACCTGGGATATAGCTGTGCACACCCAGAGAATAGAAATAACATACCCAAATTCTATCATTGTATAAATCAGGTTTTTTTCTTTTTTTTCCCTTTATCTTCCTTCAAATGTCACTGATCTTAAGTAGTTTTCCATCATGTGAGCTCTTGCTATATTAAAAATGATACTAATTTTGAGTATATAATTATGAATATTCAAAAATACAAGATAATATTTTATAAGATAAAAGCCACAAAATGAACTAAGACAGTCCACCAAGAAATCATATTCACAAAAATTCTATTCCCTTTGCTTTTGGTCTTGGCTAGCATTCATCTTTCATCTTTTACCATTGGTTTAAATGAAGTCAGGCTCAGTATGAATAACAAGAAAAAAAAAAAAAAGGAAAATCTGTGGAAATCACTTCTAGTAGCATCAATTACTTCATGATTTCACCCAGAGAGTGATCAACAGCTGATGTAGGAATCGTATCGCAGTCATTACAGAGAAAAAAGCAACGGAGATACTGGGAGAACTGTTCATTCTGTTATAAATGGTTAATTAATACTATCCATCACAGTTCCCAGTCAACAAAAACTTAAACAGGTTTTAAGGCCAGCGGGGATAACTGTAACTGTCTAAAATTACTTTTCCCACAATGCAGACTGCAGGATGCTGTTTGGTACCATCTGAATCAAGACAGAGCTGGGGGATGAGCTGAGGCAGAGTCTCTAAGAAATGCATTCAGCCTTGGCTTTCAGGCTGCAAATGATGACAAATCTATTACAACCCCAAATCAATTGCATCAGCCATTAATCATCCTCACTGTTAAAAATGTGCACCTTCCCTCTTACCCCGATTTCTCATAGATTCAGTTTCTAGCCACTGCAGTTTTTATAACCTTACCTGGAAGGTTGAAAGTCATCTATTATCAGAAAACTTCCCCCCTGTAAGATATCGCCAGCTGTTGCTAACCCTCCTGCTGCCCTCTGCTCAGCTGAGGAAGTTTCCCAGGCATACTTCCTGTAATGCCTTTCTGATCATAGTCTGGTTGCTCATATATTTTTTATTTTATTTGAAACACGAACAGCAGAAACCGACCTAGTCTGCAAGGATTTTTCTGTCCTGAATAAATTGATGATGTCAGTTCTCTCCCTTCCTTCCTCGATATTTTCACGTGGCTATATATACACCTGCACCTCTGTCCATCCCTGTGCGGTAAAGCATTTCAGCTTCAGTGAGTAAAACTGACGGACCTTAAGCATATGTTCAACCATGCTCCTAAATATAGCTCCGCTTGAACATGCTTGTACAGTTAAGAACATGTCCAGCTACTTAACTAAATTGGCCTAATGTACAGTGATTTCCCGCCTCCTCCACCTCTACCGCTACCTCTTCTCGCCTGTTTTAGAGCCTAACCGTAATGGGAGGTTTTTGAAGGGATGCTTTTATAGCCTAAACCTCAGTGTACAACTGTGTCTGCATATTTTAACTTCCTTTTGGCGTTAATTATTTTTTATCTCTTTACATTGAGTATCTGTTAGATGAGAGAACGTGTGAATTTCTGAGTGTTGTGTATTTTTAAATAAATATCATTTGGCAGAACAGTGCATCTGTGTATTTTGAAAAGGAAATAGAATATGTGGCAAAGAAGGGAAAGAGCTAGTAAAACATACATTTTAGAAATCAGGAACTGCAAAGATTTTTTTTTCGCTCAGAACCATTGCAATAGTAGTTAAATTCCGTTACTTCCAATGTGCCAGCTGTGAGAGAGAAGTGCAATTTTAACAGGTGAATAAAAAAAAGAAAAACAAGACAAGGCTCTGAAGGAAAAGCACAAAAGCCATTACAAAGATGATTTCAGGATGAAAAAAACCCAACCCAAATCTCTCAGCAACTGACAGCTGTGGTTTTAATGGGCTATTCTTAAGATGAGATTTATATGCAAACTGCCTACAGAAAGTAAAAAAAAAGGATGCTAACAACCTATAAAAGTTAAAGGTTTTTATCTCAGGCTGAAAAAACGTTGATGGCAATGGATGGAATATTATAACATACTGTAAACGTCCCCATTACATGATTGCTGCTCTGACCTGGTGCCACCATGAATGATCTGGGACAAGCACTGCAGCAGAGCAGTTGTCCTGTTGCCCACTCCTGCTCCACCTCTTCCCAACTCACTGGAGTCTGTTAGCGTGGGAGTTTTAGTCTCATATGCCACCCCATCACAAACCAATATATTTTTCTACTACCATTGAAAGTATTCCTGATCTCCTAATGCGTTCCTTTGACTTGAAAGAAAGTTTTGAGTGTGCATGAAATGTTGGATCAACACTGAAGACTATCGCCAGTGCACCTATAGGTACAGGTGCGTCTTTGGTTGCCGAAGCTTCCCTCAGCTCAGTCATAGGTCTTTTTCCACAGGGATCTCTGGAGAGCAGCTGCAGTTCACACCAGCTGACAGTCAAGAACATTCACTAAAGATGAAATAGGTGGGAGACGATATTATATCCTCTAAATTCTGAGTCACGCAGGAGCCAGACAGCCAAATGCAACACTTGGCCGATAAATGAGATACTTTGCAAACTCCTCACTACTTTGGGTCCGCCTGTTGCAGCCAGTACTGTAGAGAGCGTAGTAAAATTTCATTCTTTAGATGTCTGACAAGTGAGCTCTGACAATTTTTGTTTCAATGGGTTAAGGCATCTTTGCCAGCTGCTTGCACCTCCTCGCTGCCTGACTCCACCACACACAGCAGAGCTGGCAGGAGATAACGTACGCCCGCACCTCCGCTGCTCCCAGCCGCAGCCCAACATCTTCGCTTCCCCACCGGTGCTAATTTGTACCAAGCCACCAGCGTGTGCATGCTGCTGCTGAGCTGCGAGCAGGCTATGTTATTTTGGGGGGTACTATTATTATTAAGCAGACAGATACCGACCCATATGTTTATTTAAATAGCTAATGTGTACTGATTGCATGTATGTAAATACATACATGCATATAGCTACCATATTATATATACATAATTTGTGCTGGCGGATATGCATGTATATGCACGTACCTCTACACTGGTGAAGCGATGAATATAAGCTAAACAAGCAAATCAGATCATTGCTTTTTTATGTAAAATATCCACATTTCTGGACTAGCAGCTTCAACAGGCACGTGCACAAATACTTGTGCACTTCAGTCCCTCGTTTATAGAAATTGTAGGAGGTATTGCTTAGGAAAGCAGAGTTTGTGCAAGCAACACATTGCCTCAGCATCACGGCTTTAGTCACGCTGTTTAGAATTCAGTGGTGACAAAAGCTAAATTCTCCCTCCAATATTAAATATAACTCTGCTTAAATGTGGAAAAGTAGTGCCAATTTCTTAAGCGAGAGCTAAAGTGAAGCTCCAGTTTTTCTTGTGACAATTTTAGAAAACTGCCTAAAAGGTTGCAGAGTTTATTTATTTATTACTCTGTATTTAGCAACTCTAACACTTAATCTTCCTCCATGTCACTGCAGGTCCAGCAAGGTAGAGTGAGTCTCGTGCTGGCCCATCTGCCCGGAGAAGCGGCTGGAAGGCCCCTGAAGAGCGGCTTTCTCCGCCCCTCCATTGCCAAAAAAAGGTGTTGGGGCGGGGAAGGG